CTTTGAATCTGCTGATCCCCTGCCTTTTGTCTTCCCCGAATGTCAGGGTGCCTTCACAGTGACTCAGGATGAAGTACGGCAGGTCTTGTCCAGGACCACAGCTCGGAAAGCCGCAGGCCCGGACTGCATTCCCCCTCGTGTCCTGAAACTGTGCTCCGAGCAACTTGCCCCTGTTTTAACGGACATCTTTAACTTGTCACTCAGGAGCTGTACGGTGCCGGTGAGCTTTAAAAGGTCCACCATTATTCCAGTTCCTAAGAAGTCTCCAGTGACATGTCTCAATGACTACCGCCCTGTGGCCCTCACGTCTGTTCTTATGAAGACTTTTGAGCGGCTCGTGCTGGACTTCATTAAGAGCCAGATCCCTGTGAGTGTTGACCCGCTCCAGTTTGCTTACAGACAGAACAGGAGTGTGGAGGATGCCATCTCCTTTGCTCTGAACTCTGTCTACAGTCACTTGGACACTAGTAAATCTGTCGCGAGAATGCTTTTCATTGATTATAGCTCTGCTTTTAATTGTCTTGTCCCAAGCATATTGGTTGAAAAACTTATGTCCCTTGGTCTGAATGTTGCCATGTGTAAATGGATTTTTAGCTTTTTAACTGACAGATCTCAGAGAGTAAAAATCAATGACTGTCTTTCTGATGTTGTTTCTGTGAGCACTGGTTCTCCTCAGGGATGTATTTTGAGTCCTTTGCTTTTTACTTTGTACACTCACAATTGTGTGTCCTCCTCTGACTCAAACTTGATCATTAAATATGCTGATGACACCACCATCATCGGTCTCATCAGTAACACTGATGAATCCTCTTATAGAGCAGAGATCGAACATGTTTTTCAGTGGAGTAAAGTAAACAATCTCCAGCTGAACACTGCAAAAACATGTGAACTTGTCTTTGACTTCAGTCATAGCAGTTCTCACACTCCTGTAGTTATCGACAACTCCCAGGTGCAGATCGTAGAGGAGTGCAAGTTCCTGGGTTTAACTCTTTCTAACGACCTGAAATGGGACAAAAATACTAACCGGGTCGTTAAGAAAGCACGTCAGCGGCTCTTCTTTTTGCGGAAACTTAGAGAATTTACCACTAACTCTAAGATTCTGCTTAACTTTTATCGCTGCACCACTGAGAGTTTACTTATTGGTTCTGTGTCTGTGTGGTTTGGTAACATCACAGATAGAGAAAAGAGAGCTTTAAACAAGGTGCTCCGCTCTGCAAAGAGGACCGTGGGCTGTGAGCTTCCTGTTCTGGAGGTTCTTTATAAATCCAGACTTTTAAACAGAGCTCTTAGGATTGTTAATCCTCTTCTGGCCACCCTGGGAAAGCCATGTTCCAGCTTCTACCCTCTGGCAGAAGATATCGGTCGCTGAGATGCAAGACATCTCGCTATGCTAACAGCTTCTTTCCACAGGTTGTTAGGTGCCTAAACAGAGCACTTTAATTCCTGCTTTTACCCCTTGTATCGTTTTGTTGATCGGTGCCACAGTGTCAGCTGTTTTTTTTATTCTTTTATATTGTGTATGTGTATTTTATATTACATTGTATCGTGTTCTTTATTCTGTCGGTGCACACAGAGTACCTTTCTTTGCAAATGTATTCCAATGTAGTTTGTTTACTGCACATGGCTAATAAAATGAATCTGAATCTGAATCTGATGTTATGACCATGGGTCATTCTCTACCTGCAGATTATGTGAAGATTTTGCCTACAGACAGCGACCACATCCATGAATAATGTTGTGGTAGTAATCGCGTTAAAATGCAAACGGTCTCTCCGTTTATGATTAGAATCCGCTTCAGAAGCCTCTATTTAAAGTGGTTCTCACCCCCGCTCCTCGGAGCTTACGTCACTCACATTTCCTGTTCAAATCTTCCTCTAAATGGGCGTAGCCTGGAGGACTGAAGGGGGCGTGAATGACACTGGGCCGTTTACATTGCTCTGGGCGGGGGGCTGCTGACGTCAGGTCCAACTTGCAGACGTCAGGTCCAACTTCTGTGCCAGTGTTGGCGCCAGATTCAAAATTCAAATGTAGTAATACAGGTCGCCAGCAGATGGCGCCTCACAGACGGTTTTAGGCAGAAAGTTTAACTTTCAACTAATTTGCACCAAAGTGACAAGATTATGACCAGGATATGTAACACTATTGGACACTCATTTATACCGTTTATCAGCAAAAAAAAGTGGATTTGAGGGTGAGTTGTCCTTTAATTTATCCTAAACGGACTGTGGAAGATTAATAATAAAACACATGCGGCTGGTCAAAGTCATTGAGCATCAACTGGTGACGTCTGGTCAGTATCACGGCTATCGATGGATGCACCAGAAATGCAGTGAATGATATTGTGACTGACAGAGAGACCGTTCGCGATTACAGGACAGTGAGAGAGGTCCGCAGACAGAAGCAGGAGAACTACAGTCACGGGTACTGACAATATTACCCTTTTGGAATTGCGATCAGTGCATTGAAGAGTATGTGACGTGTTTGCGTGCACGCGGGGGTGAGCTGATGGAGCGTGCGGGTAAAGTTGTTGGCGTATGAGCAAGAACACAGAGACATATAGGGAATAAGTACCTCGTCTGATTATTTTATTGTGACAAAATAAAGCCCACGACTCTTTTAGCAACAATCCGGAGAAATAACTCCGCAGATAACAGTGAGGGTCTTTGAAAAGGGAGTTAAACCCATTATAGATGCATGAATAAAACCCCGTACTCAACACGTAGAAAGCGCATCGTTTCAGCCGTGGAAATACTCGCTCCGTGTGGACCCCTCTCAGCGCCATCGTCTGGTCAGAGTGGTCTATAGCAGATTGGATTGGAATGTCTCGATGGCTCATTTTCCTTTGATTTATTATAAAAACATATTGCTCACATTATTTGTTACTATGTCGAAATAAGAAGTCGTTTGATTTAAATGTTTTATAAATGTAAATTGAATTTAACATAAATAAAAAGACAGCTCCCCCCTGCGTCCTACGACCGCGGTCTGGGGCTTAAACAGGAAAGTTTTACAGAATCAATCAAACAACATTATTTCTAGCTACTTCAAGGATGCAGTGGTCGCTGTCAGCAATATCTTCACATAATCTGCAGGTGAAGGACGTCCAGAGACCGTTCCAGACAACAACACATACGAGTTTTCAACTGCACATGCGCAGTTGAAAACTAGTAATTTTGACTTTTAAACTCAAAATTTTGACTTTCTGTATGCTTTTTTTTTTTTTTTTACATGGCGGAAACGGGCTTCCATAAAATACAGCCAAAACATGAGCTAAACCAGGACTAAACCAGGATTGACAACCGGGGACACAGTGCTTGTGAACATATGCCAGCCTGAGTTCTCATTCTCTAGTAGTGACTAAACTAGTGCAGCTAGCATGTTCGCCGTTGCGGAAGTACCGTTTAATAATAAAATAAACTTATGGCGCACCTCCGAGAACACAACACACACTGCTGTTATATAAAGTCCCTGGCTGGTCTCTGAACACAGAGACGCTGCAGAGCTGCATTCTTGGAGAAAAACTTTACACAAAAAGCCGCTAGCTTAACTCTGTTAGCATCGAAGCCCGCCCACTACTTCTGCCACTTCCGGTGGGCGCCACCGCAGGCCAGGACTTCTGGTCTTAAGACCCCTAGCGTCTGAAATTTAGAGAATGTGCGCCTAGTTGCATGGTGTGTGGGGTAGGGATGTAAAAACTATGAATTTTCATGACCGACCACCGAGCCTCATTAACCGGTTGAAACCGGTTAACTACATAGTTTTAAAATAGTCCACCTTCTTTGAAATAACAGCCATTTCGAGCCGCGTACTTACTATAAGTGCAGCTGAGCGTTCTACGGGATCAGAGCCGAGACAGCGGCGCCAAAACCCGCAACTGCTTCGGCACCTTTGCGCACAGAGAACTGCTGTTTTAATCTTCCCATTCTGCTGTGCTGCGGCCTGCGGCACAGCAGGCTGCAGCACAAGACGGCTCGTTCACATGGTCAGAGCAGTGAGTGACGCGCCGCGTCTCGCAGGTCTCCGCTAAAGTTTAAAAGTGATGTGTGTGGAGCTGATCTAATGCCAAGGGCCAGCAGCACAAACATGTTCCATGTGGTTTGACTGGAGCTGCGTATTTGCGAGGATCCTTTGGGCACCGTAACACAGAGGAGCGCGACAGACCGGTATGTGTGTGTTTACAATACATGTATGTGTGTATGTGTGTGTGTGTGTGTGTGTATGTGTGTGTAAATATAAGCTCCAATGTAGTTCTGACCCGCACCAGTGTGCAACTAGCAGGCGGTAACAGAGGGGAGAGATGATGCGTTGGATGTTATGCATCAATAGAGGGGGGAAAGTGTGTGTGTTTGTGTGTGTGTGTGTGTGTCTGTGCGCGCGTGTGCATTTGTGCGTGCATATATGGCGCGTGCGGCGTGAGAGTCGGCCCGGAGTTTACTGATACATTGGCGCACCCAGCTAGAGACAGACCCGCTCGTCACACCTTGCAAATAGGGCTTAAAATAGCGTTATGAAGAGACCTCTCCTCTCCCCTTTTTCTCTTTTTTAACCGGCAGCTTTGACCGGTGAACGCTGTGACGGTCAACCACCGGTTAAACGGTCACCGATTTACATCCCTAGTGTGGGGAGGCGGGACCACTGGCGTAAATTATTTCTAAAACTCTATTCTGTCTATTTTGTTTATTGCTTTTGGTTGTTTGTTCATTTATTGTGTTCTAGTGGTAAATATTTTTTTTAAATAAAAATTTAAGGTGTACCTTCATCCTTATCAATGTATTAGATGATAATGATCTCAGAACGACAATAATATCGCTTATCGCAATGATTTCTGAGACAATTTATCGTCCAGCAAAATGTTATTGTGACAGGCCTAAGTGTGGTTTATAGTCCGGAAAAAACGGTAATCAAGAAATACTTACTTAAGGAAATATTCATTTTGAACTGGATTTTTTTTTTTTTAAGTTGGCACCTTAACTAAAATATTTTTTCCTCTGCATCCTCAGATAATCCAGCAGATGCAGATTTGTGGGTGCTTAACAGTTGTACTGTGAAAAATCCGGCCGAGGATCACTTCAGGAACTCCATCAAGTAAGAACACAATCGCTAAATTATACAAGTATAGAGTCAAGACGAAGGCTGAAATGCGTTGATCAGGGATATAACAACGAATACAGTGTAAGGATTTAGGCAGACAGAGACGGATCGTGGTGTGCCAAACTCTGGAAGTTTATTTAAGTTTCTCTCAAGTTCCACTGGTTTACTCTGTTTCTTTTCCTCAGACAGAATAAAGGCAGTACACAGTTTATATAGTCATTGTCACGTCACACATCGAAAGACATACGTGTCACAAAGAGACAGTCAAATCATAGTCATAACATGGAGTCCTTGTAGAGTCCTTGTACAGTCCTGCACGTAGGCCATATTGCTATCTAATACTAACACCCTCCCCTTTGATCACATAATCACATGTGATCACTCAAATCGATCAATCAATAAAATGGAAAAAGAAAAAAAAAAAATTCCAAAAAAAAACTTCAAAAAATTATTAAAAACAAAGAAAATGTATGCATTGAACTCATAATCATCAAATCAATATCAGTGGATTTTATCCTCTATCCTGGGAAAAAATAAAAAAACAAAAACAAATCAAAAATAAAAACAAACAAACACTATTGGACACACAAGAACTCAGCAGATTCAGTCAAAACACAGACAAAAACGAGCTGAGTCTCAATTTTGAAGCTAATTTCACTTTTATTACTCTATACTTTTATTCTAATGCTGATTGTTTACACTACACTCAATCTTATTTCACTGTATTATTTTCACTTTTCAATCTTAGACTGTGTACTTTACTTTCTATTCACTATAGTTTAAACTATTCTAATCTATTTACAAATATGTTTGCATATTTGCTTCTATTGAGCCATATTCTTAAACATACATTTTAATCTAATAAATCTCTCTTTAGTTTTACACTCTCATTATCAGTGGCATATTATCAGTGGGATTTTACTCCATGTCTATTCTCATTCTCAGGAATAAAACTGTGAACACAGTAAGGCAAATGGTCAACATTTACACTTCTATAGTGGTCAGTGATTTATTACTTTTTATTATCTAAAGATTTTATTGTCAGGCAGTTTGGGATGAATGTACATCATTAATCAAATTAGTATTATCCTTACAAGAGCTAATCTATTTTAGCAGGTTTGGGGTTGGGGTCAGTTATTCTACAATGGTATTTGATTCTCTAATCTGTGCTGGTGAATCAACAACTTTTAAACTTCTCAAAGATATCTAAATATCTACTATTGTGTTTTTGTGCTATACACAAATACATCAAAATGCTTTTAAATTCTTTTGAATCTCTGTTGGTTGTAATCTATCTCATTAATCTAGGCATTAATCTAGACTACACTCATATGGACTTTTGCATAGTCAACATTCACTCATGTGTGAACACAAGTGAATTTGGCAAGTATCTAATAAAACTGTACATAAACTGTAATTAACTTTATCTACTTTTGAAGTAAATGCTTGTGAAATGGTCCCTTTACCATTTGATATTAGCACTGGCTACAAATAATCTCTATTTTTGAAAGCATCTATGGTTGATGCATTTATCCAATTCTATTTCTACACTATTGTGGCTCCAAAGTTTGGCTGCAGTTTGAGCAAAGGCATATTTCTAGTTTGTGACTTCTGTCACTTTTAATATCTCTAACATTATTCTGATTCTAATATTATAGCTGATCTATCAAAAGGGTAACATTGTAGGGTACTATTTTAACTCTTATGTGGAAATGTTTATGAAAAACAAAGGAAGTCAAATTCTACTCTTTTACTACTATTTGACATCTACTAAAACGCTACAATACTTATACTTTATCATTTTCAAACATTTTGTCTGTCAAATGTCTGAATACGTTACATTTATTGCATTTGTCACAGTTGTGGTTCTGGTTGTAGCAAAAGCATCGGCAATAGACGTTTTTCATTGGCTGGTTCTTGTTCTGCAAATCGCTGTGTCCAATAGATCATCAGATGTCCAGAAGCTAGGGACAAACAAAAACAAAAGAAAAAATCATGAGTATCTGTCTCATTTAGCACTCATCTATGTATGATTTCAAAAATATAAACATCACTCCCCAGTTTTTCTCTCCAAGGTCCTCAGGTCCTCAGGTCCTCAGGGTCCCCTGAGGGTGAGTCTCAGTCGTCATCAGGTCAGGTCATCTTGGACATCAGTAGGGTCCAAGCCATGGTTCTGGTCACTCCAGATGCACATCAGATCTCCAGATACAGTCTTTTCAGTTGAAGCACATCAGGTCATTTGCGATGCACTTCTGGTCAATGGTGCAGTGTCTCAGTTCCTGTACACAGCTTGTTATGCAGTAGTTACTTTCTATGGTTAGTCACTTTGATTCTACTTTAACACAATTTCTATTCATGCTGTTGCTAATGTCCCTTAGACAAAAAGCAAACGCAGTTTACTTCTCTAATTTGTGTTTTTATCAGATCTAATTCTCATCAATGTAATTACTTCACACAGTACAAAATCAACAAATCAAAAGTGTCAGGACAGACGTCATTTAAGTCCATGACAATATAGAATTCAAATGAACATTTCTGGTCTCAAAAAATACTGATTCAACTAAAGATTCAAGTGATAGACAATTAAAAATATGTTTACATTGGAGTAAACTTTTAATGCTTTTTTCTCATGTTCTGCTTTTTCATGTATCTATATGTAAATGTGAATGTGTGAGTGTATGAGTGTATGTGTGTATGTGAATTTTGGGGTTGTTTCTCAAGACTCCTCGAACCACCTGTAGGTCTCAAAGGTCACACTGTGGTGATGTAAACCACGTAGACACACTTTCAACTCCCTCTAGGTCTCTACCTGACGCTCCACCCATCACTGCCTCCAGATACCTCTCTTTCATGGCCCCGGTCTCTCTCACACCCACTCAGCTCTGCAGTGGCGTGGGGAGGGGCAAGGAGGTGGCATTTTCCTTTGCTCTTTGATCTGTGACCTGTGGCTGGGTGGGCGTTGCGCTGTCCAGTGTCCAGCAGTGACCTCTCGTACAGTGAGGCAGAGTCTGAAAAACAATCCTTGAAACGGCCAATTTAAAAAAACAATAGATATCAGTATGCGAATGAGATTGTTTTTCTCTCTGAAGTCAAAACAATTTGAGCGCTCTGGGTTTTCCCAAGCGCTATGTAAATAAAAGATTACTTATTCTCTTACTAATGATGACATTTTAAAACCAGAAACTAAAGAAGTTATCAAAACAACAATTATACTCAAAACAAACAACCTTTTAAACTTTAAAACATGTATTATATACTTTTGTACTGTGTGATTAATTATCTATGCATCCTTGGGTTTCTTGAAAGACGCCATGAAATGAAATTATGAAAAATCTCTATAAAAATGAACATTAATTTGTAAAAACATTTAAAACAAAACTTGAAATCAAACAAAAGATTTAGCTCCAGCTAAACTGGATTTGGTTCAATAAAACTCAATTGTGCGTCGGAGCTGCCTCCTCATGTCTCTGAGCAGCAGCAAGGTCACGCGTGTAGTCAAAACAAAAACAAAAGTCACCGCTTGAATGTGAATTGGGTGAATTGGGTAGTTTAACTTAATAATATAATACTTTTACAGCCTAATTCCCTCTTTCTTTTTAGACGAAGTCTACAATCATTAATCACTTTTAACAGATTCTAATTTAAATGTTTGAAAAACGGCTTTTGTAACTAAAATAAAAACATAAAAAAAAAATTCTCACTAACAGCTATGAAATATCAGATACAATAATGGACTCACAAAATAAGCAGCAGATTTAAAAAGAAAAGCAAAGCTTTTTGTACTAATCTTTGGGTTTCAAAAACATACTAATTCAAAACTTCTATTCACTAATGGTGTTTAAAACGTTTAACTGTGTCTAACACAATGTTCAAATGGCAAATTTAGCAAATTTAACGGAATAAAAACTATGAAAAGCCAAATTCCTAAAGCAGTAGCTTTGCTTCAGATTCACAGCCAGAGCAGCGAAGGAGGGGGCCGTTTCCCTGACAACGGCAGCAGATAGAGATGTGCACACACAGGCAAAAAGATACAGAAGAAGAACTTTCAAGATTACTTTTTTAAGCAAATATAACTGATGTTGTTCTTTATACTTTTGTCATCGAAGTCTAGAAGTGATCACTTTCCACACTAGTAACAAAAGGCACTCTTGTCTTTAACGTTTACGCTTCTATTTTATCGAGGTAGCAAACTAATTTAAACTTAATCTCTTTCTAAAAAACAAAAACAACTGTTGGATACAACCCTCTCATAGCTCAACTGTAGATAAAACTCGGTAAAAAAATGTAAATAACTCACGAAAGCTCTCATAGCTCAACTTTAGATAAAACTCTGCATTCTCCGGTGAACTCTGTTCACTCCAAAAACAAAAACTCCCTTTTTCTGTATGTAATTTAAACCGTGATCACTGAAATATTGTTGCTTCTTTACTTTTGTCATTTATCAGCCTGAAATTCGTCAATTTCAAAGCTTTTGTAACAAAGGCCTCTTTAACACATTTCCCTTTTTATAATAACTTTTATGTTTACACCATGGTTTCACTTTTGGATCCAACACTTATGGCCTTTACACTTTATGGATCCTCACTTTAATGGCCAACACTTTTCACTTTATGGATCCTCACTTTAATGGCCAACACTTTTCACTTATGGATCCTCACTTTAATGGCCAACACTTTTCACTTTATGGATCCTTTTCACTTTAATGGCCAGCACTTTTCACTTTATGGATCCTATTCACTTTAATGGCCAACACTTTTCACTTTATGGATCCTATTCACTTTAATGGCCAACACTTTTCACTTTATGGATCCTATTCACTTTAATGGCCAACACTTTTCACTTATGGATCCTCACTTTAATGGCCAACACTTTTCACTTTATGGATCCTTTACACTTTAATGGCCAACACTTTTCACTTTATGGATCCTATACACTTTAATGGCCAACACTTTTCACTTTATGGATCCTATTCACTTTAATGGCCAACACTTATT